CGTCACGTACTGTCATAGTAACAATATACGTCACATTTGTATGATGTCATATAATTACATACATAGTAACAGTGATACAGTATCTCCGTGTTTCGTCACGTACAGTCATAGTAACAATATACGTCACATTTGTATGATGTCATATAATTACCTACATAGTAACAGTGATACAGTATCTCCGTGTTACGTCACGTACTGTCATAGTAACAATATACGTCACATTTGTATTATGTCATATAATTACCTACATAGTAACAGTGCTATCTCATCTCCGTGTTACGTCACGTACTGTCATAGTAACAATGTACGTCACATTTGTATGATGTCATATAATTCATAATTACAGTCATACCTTGATATGTCAGGTAATGTAATAAATGCAACAGGCCTCCACTTAACAATGTACATGTATCTAAGTACTTTAACATCGACTCGTTGGATTAGTTACACATAATGTGTATAATAATTTTGCGCTTGTGCTTATTTTTATCTTTCAAAGTTTCTTTTCAGCACTAAAAGATGAAATCTTGATTTTATAAATGATTCACATAGCATCACGTCCCATGCCTTGGCAGATCTTAATATATTCCAATATGTTTATTACTAAAATGTTAGGTCCAAACCCCAACGAGATTTAATTGTTCAAACACGGGATTTTGTGTTTTTAATGCGTGCAATATGTAGACTTGCACAAGTTCCATATTACGAGTAATATATCTGATCCCAGGTCCAATATTCATGAAAATGTTCTCACGCTCAAACTCAAATTTTGACAATGTTACATGTTCATGCTTTGAGCGACAAGAAAATGTGTTTAAGCACGAAACCATGCTTAAACGCGAGAACGGTTTTATGAATACCGTCTCTGGTGGCGCCAATGTCATATAACGGTATATACCGTCTCTGGTGGCGCCAATGTCATATAACGGTATACAGCGTAACTATTCTGGATAAACAAAACGTAAACATCAAGTCCGGAACAGTCCTCACAATACATACAAACTGTGTTAAAACATTTGTTTTTACCTGCCAGAGTTTACCTACACAGCTCGAGGACAATGACGCTGTAGCTCTAACTATATATCTACATGTACTTACATTATGAAAGTATGTCCCGCACTGGTCCAGTTAGACCATACTCAGTCAGGTTAACGATGTTTTCATGTTAAGTAGTTTTACCTACCTGTGTGCTATAGTCCTACTTTCAACTTTTTGTCGTCATTATGAAACCTCCACCCCCTTTTCTGCATAATTCCTAGGAATGTGTATACCGTCTGTGGCGATCCGTCAAACAAACTCCGCATTCTACACAAGTCGGCCTTGTTGTACATCATTTATCGGAGGCTCGCGGGGGATCATCAGTAGGAGTATATATAGTACCTGCTACTCTTTACGCTTCAGTGAACCGTAGGTTGTTGATCTTTATACACAATGTGAGTAATTTATATTCATGTAATTTATCATTTGTAATTCAATGGTTAGTTTATGCCAGTTGATATATATAGGTGCAGAAGGTTTTAAAAAATGTCTTGCATAACTATGCTGACTTTGAACGTGTTTCGTAAGCCATTCATGGCCGAACATAATTATATTGATACGGTTGTACCCTAGAGTTTTAATTTGATAAAATGTGTTTGTCACGTAAATGAAAATTTGACTGTATGATAATTAAAAAAAGTCATTATCATAATACAATGTAATCCAAGAAAATGAGCAGGCTATGCACGTGCGACATTAAGCTCTTATTGATAGCATTTAACTGCATAGAGTTGTGACATTAATGAGAGAGTAGTTGGTATGTATGTGTGTGTGTGTGTGTGTGTGTGAAGCAATGAGACATGTATTTTATAATAGAAACTTAAAGGTATTTAAACTGTAAAGCTAATGGTGGACCAGGAGGTCTTCAAAACAGGATATCCACCGAAGAATGCATTTTCTTTTCTTTTGAAATCCCTATTGATTCCACAAATCCCAACACTGAACACCGCCTGTCAGGAAAGTTAACCCCCTTCATCAAAATGATACTTGAAGGCATTAAGCACACTTTTCACGTGCAAAAGTACGTGCCATACTATTGAGCTGAATAGCTTTATATAATTGTATATTTATATATAGATTAAGTGCACGGGATTTCCTCGGAGGTCAACGTACATTATCATATAAATCGATACTTTCGGTACATTTAATACGTCCAGATTCTTTTAATAATGAAAGCGTACATATTTAGATATCATGATAACGACCTTTGGACTCTGCCAATCCTCTGGGAAGTACCGCTGGCTTTGGATAATTGGCTATTTTCAATAAAAACGACCGAGAAAGTTACCGTGTATAAAAAAAAATACTCCTGACTTCATGTAAAACGTTTCCGTGTGTCATGACCAACAGGCACCAGATAGAACTTAGAAGGTATCATGTCTGTCTATTAACATAGACATAAATCGTCTGAGTTGGCCATTTCTCACCAAGTCCAGGACATCTTCGATTACAATAAAAATCCATTACAAATAATAACTGACCTATCAGTAATGTAATGGCTGGTGTACGTATTTCGGATAGTTTTAGACTTGAATATGGCGGTATTAACCGCTTAAGAATCTCCCATCTTTTCTCTTAAACTTAAACGTGACTGGTCCAATACTGCCAATGTAGAGGTGAATACTGTTCTATTTATACATGCAGTATAATTCCAACTCACGTGCCCTGGTTCGATACTCGATGTTTTGATTTATCTACTAAATGACCTCGCTGATCCACTGCAGCGTGAGCCGGCAGTAACATTAGCATAACTGCTTAATCACGTCATACATACGTAGCCCGTCTATCATCGTGTTATTAGCCAGCTCTATATATAAACTTATCTCGCTGTTTAAGATTAACACTAATTTTGTTGGTATACATGTTTAATTATGGACGCATATTAAGAAAACTTCGATTGTATATTGACGTGGAGTATAATAGTAAATCCGTGAGAGAAGATACAACATATTTATTCATACATCAAAACATCAAACCATGTCATTTAATCATATATATCTTTAACAAGACACTGTGTCGTCCACCTGGATACGTTTAAAGTACTTGATATGAAGTAAAGATATAGCACTCCAAGTTAGGTACTACATGTATATTTTCATATGAAATTTCTGAAAGATCCATCCAGTGTTTATGAAAATACACCGAGAACAAACTTCAAATGTCAAAATCCAAAATGGCGGCCTGGTGGCCATCTTGTTTTAATGAGTAATAGTAACAGGCACTACTAGAATACTTGATGGAGACAAAATTGGGATAAAATCCCATTATACCCGCTATGGTAGAAGAAGGATTTCAAAGGTTTTACCTATTTTTCCCCTATTCCTAACACACCAACCGTTTACATAAAATTGAGGCCCAGTGTTGCTTCAGACTAAATAAGGTTAAAATCCCTTTATCCCTATGGTAGAAGGATTTTAAAGGTTTATCTCTTTTCCCCCATTGGGCCCCACTCCTCTGTCCCCAGGGGCACCACACCCACCGTTTATACAAAATTGAGTGCCCTTGGTCCATGGATGCTCCAGACAAATTTTACTTAAAACCACTACGGCGGTCAGGACTAGTAAGCGTTTTAAATGAAAAGTTGACGGACGGACGGACGACTGACGACGGACGCTGCGCCATGGCATAAGCTCACTTGCCCTTGCCCTTCGGGAAAGTGAGCTAAAAACTGTTAATTGTACAATTTAATAAACGATATAAAAATATTGAATCACTGGACCGTGTGAACCTTATGATTAACCTCTGATCACGTGACTTCCTTGTATTTCGTTGTTAACTGTTGTTATGCGAGTATGTTCGTTGGTAACAGCAGTACAGAACAAATTTGATAGATGCCCTGACATCTATCTGGTAGGTAGGAACAGCGAGATATGACGTTTAGCTGGTCACCATAGGACTCTACATGTGTTACCACGGACACGACAAGTGAAGCGTGTGGCTCGGCCGCTAGATGACGCTGTCAATTGTTTCGCCGTCACTGATTTGCTAGAATATGCGGAAGGACATTATAATATAACAGTGGTGTTGTTTCCTTATCCAGTGTTGTTAAACTCTACGCTTACTGACCTGTCTCGTAATTTAGGTTACAAATCGTCCTTGTCCTGCATTTTTGTGACGTAATGTACATGCATTGTGTCAATTTCTGATTATATTTCCTATCATTTTTCCGGAGTGTGAGTGTCGACTTTCCTCCTTATTGACAGTTACATGTCTTACAAACGTTTTCAATACGGTATAAGATCCCGATGCACGTGTGATTTAACCGGATATGTATAAGTATATATATATATATTGTAAAAGTTTGGGTCGTTCTTTTAGGTGCGATTGTAAATAATGATTACACAAAAGTACACTGGGCAACGTAACCCTGTACATCGTAAACGTAAAATCGAAGGCAGAGCGTGACGCAGATAAGCTGCAGATAAAAAACCAAGCGACAGGCTAATGAGAAGTTAAGAAACGTCACTCTGCATATTGATACATACATCTTATATAAAAACACGAAAATAACAATCTAGAAATCTAATTCCGTGATAAAATCAAACTTATTAAACACGTAAAAAAAAGCTTTTTTTATGTCATTCATATTTTTCGAAGGAAATGTTTTCAGTATTATTGTATTCAATTTAGTTGCTAATTATGACAGAGAACAATTAAAGCTTAATAGAATTGATTATTATATCCGAGGATTGTTATTAATTCGTAATTATTGAAATATAAAGGGTACTTAAAATGAAAAACTGATCAAGGTCGTCTACACTTGTGACACTATCTACAGCCAGTGTTGACTAGTATGACACCGAACATGGCATTAACAGGGCTATGGTGAACGTCCTTTACCGAGACCTTTAGTGACATGTATAACCGATGTCTGTGTTTACATCGGCCATTGTCGGTATCGGAAGCTAGTCCGGTCGACAATGGGTTTATCACGTAGCGGCTATACTGAGATTCAAACCCTCCCTGATACGATTCTTCGTTGATTGATAAAACAGGATAACTATTCAGTTTATCAGTCAACTAACAATATAGCATGGCAAGTGTTATAGAAGTCAGCCAATAAGTCTAAGGGTTATTGCGACAACGGTTTGACCAAAGTATTATTGAATTTAAAAGATTTCTGTTCTATTTGCTGAGCGTGTTCATGGACAGATACCAGAGGTCAGTCTAAATGCAAAGAAAAGTGCTCGGAACAGTTATATATTATGATATATTTGTAGATTTTATACCTCGTGAAGATAGAACATTAACAGTTGCTTGTGTTTATAACTATTCGCAATTTTCCTCAATAGTTCTACTGAGTAAACAGCAATGCAAAGTCACTAGTATAGTTTTTGAAATGCTCCATTCTGCTGTTGCCTTGACTTTAGCCTAATTATATGTCAATTAGTTTATGCCACAATTACGATCAAGTCCATCGAGACGAGGGAAAATAGGGAATTCTCTGACAAAGCTACTCACATTAAAAATAAAACATTTTCTTTAGAATTGAAGACATTTAATGATTTTTTAGGGACTGTCAGAACAATAACAGTAGCATCGTGTGTGTCTCCCTGCTACCATGCTCGAATAGTTAAATGTGTTCAACATTTTTATAAAATTGTTACGTTATGTGACCATACCGTTTTGGGGAATCTATTGTTCACATTCCAAAATATTAAAGCTTATGATCATGTCTATTTCCCGTCATTTTCTCCATCTGAAACTCCTCATGGGTGACGCCAAAAGTTCGCAAGAGAGGAAATGGTGTTTGGGTTAAAGTGTTTTTTTTTAAATTTGACTAAGATACAAGATAGATAAAAATGTGTTGCTTGTGCTATCCATAGTGGCATATTTACATCATTTTCAGTTCTTTTCGCCTTGAAAGAATGAATTAAAATTATATAATGTCCAATTATTTTGTTAACGTCGCAAAACAAAAATATCACACTTAGCCAATCCATAGACATCGTCATTCCCCCTTCATGTCAATTTTTATGGTAATCAGAATTGTAAAGACTTGTTAAATGGCCTTATTTTTCGATAAGATAATGAGATAATGACATTTTAATTTAACCAAGTGTAATTCTGTTGGGTAGCCAAAATAAAAGACAATAGGACGACTTTTTCAACCAGAAATTTGCCAGAATTGTAGGTCGCTAATATTCGCGTTGATATTTCGTGTCTGTAGAAAGGTTTACTTTCTGTTCTTCGCTCAATTTTTCAAAACGAAAAGACAAAACTCAACGCACCAATTAAGTGTAATTTTTTTGCAGCGAAATAACGATATTTCATC